GTGCGGCACCTCAGCGCTGCCCCAGCACGGGGGTGCCCGCCGCGAGGCTGGCGGTTCTCCCCAGCCCCGGCCAGCCGGTGCCCCCGCGCTACCCTCACCTCCTGGCGCTCACCTGCAGCCGCCGCCGCCGCCGCGCTCGGGGATGCTCCGCAGCCGGAGCTCTCACCTCACCTGCACCGGCCGCACCGGCCACCAGGGGGCTGCTGTGCGGCACTCCAGGTAATGTAGTCCCCTGGCTGCCCGGGACGGCCAATCCCCGCGGCGCGGAACGTGCCGGGAGTGGTAGTTCTTCCCGGAGGCGTCAGTGCGGGGCAGACTGGGAGGTGTAGTCAAAATGCGGGGGTGCGCAGCCGGCTTCTCCCCGCTGCGGAACTACAACTCCCGTGCGCCCCCGCCGCGGCGGCTCGAGCGGGCCGGGCCGCGGCGCCGAGCTCCCGCGGGTGTGCGAGCCCATCATGGCGGCCGGGCCGCCCTCAGCGCCGGGTGAGCCGGCGCCGCCGCCGCCGCAGCCGCCGCTGCAGTACAGCCTGCTGCTGCAGTACCTCGTGGGCGACAAGCGGCAGCCCCGCGTCTGGGACCCCGCCGTCCTCGGCGGGATCCCCTGCCCGCCCAAGAGCGAGGAGCAGAAGATGGTGGAGCGGGTCATGGAGAGCTGCCCCTTCAAGGCGGCGCTGGCCTGCGTGGGAGGTGCGGCGGCTGTGGGGTCGTTCGGGGGTCCCTGCGGCTTCGGGAGAGGGGCGCATGGAGATGTTTGATTTTCCTCCCGTGTCTGATTTTCCCCCCGTGTTTGATTTTCCTCCTGAGCCTCCTCCAGTGCCTGTCAGATGTCCCAGGGGGGATCTGTGTCTGCCTTCTTGCAGAGGTGCTCGTGGCCTCTCCTCACACAGCACGGGCTGGCACAGGTGTCCACAGCAGCAAGAGATCCCTGCCCTGTCACAGCGCCGCTTCATTGCCTGCAGGGAATGTGCTGCTCCAACGCAGCCGAGTTAATTTCGTTGTTTATCCTTCACAGGGTTTGTTCTGGGAGGTGCGTTTGGTATCTTCACAGCTGGCATCGACACCAACGTGGGGTTTGATCCCAAGGATCCCTATCGCACGCCCACGGCCAAAGAGGTGCTCAAGGACATGGGGCAGCGAGGCATCTCCTACGCCAAGAACTTTGCCATCGTGGGTGCCATGTTCTCCTGCACGGAATGCGTGGTGGAATCTGTGAGTAGGAGCCTCTCAACCATTAACAAATGTTTTCTGGTACCCTTTAAAATCTTTTTCTAGATCCAAATAAGTACATATATTCTTTTTGCAATAGGGCAATGGAATAGGCTGCTTTGTTCTTTCTTGGCCAGCAGAGCTTTTCAGCTTTGAGATCTGTCTTCAGAGCTGCTGTTCTCTCGCAGAATGAAGAACTCTTTTGCAGTGGCAAAGTCCTTTTCAGTTTAAGTCCTAAATGTGTTGGCAAGCATAGCTATTACTTTTTAAAACCCTAGCTACAAGTGCTTGTGTAAAATGTCAAACGGTGCGTTGCAACATGGTAATTTGAGTGTCTAAAATTCCATATGCAGAAAGAGATCATTTGAAGAAGGTTCTTGAGTAACAGGCCGGTTTTCCTCTGGCCCCTACAGTCAGACCTTGTGCAGCTCAGTTGTAAATCTATCATCTGGGTTTTTTTTTAATAGGAAAATTGCCCTCTTATGAATTTAAGCCCTGCCTTTTAATTGAAAGGCACAATTACTTCTTAAGTCATCTAGAAGAGTAGTGTATCTGCTTACACAATGGAACACATCAAAGAGATCTCTGCACTGGTGAAAATCCAGCATGTCCTGGCTATGGAAATAGTCCACAGGTGCTGTGACTGTTACCTGTGCCAAGGACCAGCTGCATGGCCACCTCAGGGCTTTCTCATGTGGTTATTGCACTTTTAGACTCAGGGCTGTGTTCTGTCCTGGCTCACCTGAGGATCCTTCCCACAGCACTGCATTGCACCATATGGATTTGTCTCACCTCTCCCAGTTACCTTCTCCTTCCTCCCTTCCCTGCCCAAGTCTGGGAGTGCAGGGCCATCTGCTGAGAGCAGAGGGAAAAACACCCTCAGCTGAGAAGGGGATGGAAAGTCGTTTAACCTTTCTAGCTGCTAGCACAGATGCTGGGTGTTTATTCCATATTTACCTGTTGGCTCTGATGTGTAATTCCACAGTATCGTGGGAAGTCAGACTGGAAGAACAGCGTTATCAGTGGCTGCATCACGGGAGGAGCCATCGGCTTCAGAGGTTGGTGCTGCCTGCTGGGAGCTGTTTCTGTCATAAGATTGAATTTGGTCATGCAGCACACGATGTTCTCAGTGCAACACACACACCACAAACCTCTGTGCATGGGGCTGTGGTGAGGCCAGTGTGAGAGTGTGCTCTGGACTAGCAGAGCTGTCAGCTCCGAGAATAAGTGTGGATGAGGAAGGGTTGTCATAGAGGAAAACCAACAAAATTCACTTGAAAGAAAAGTCAGGAGATGGTGGTGGCTGTCCACACTCTTCTATGTGTCATGGGAGAGAGCCAAAAATACATACAGAAGCTCTTGTGTTAACTGAGCTCTACACATCTGCCATTTCACTGTCTCTGCTGTTCTCCTTTGAAATTAGAACTAAAGAACTCTTTTCTTTTGTACCATGTGCAAAATGCTTTTCTCCTTTCTCATGTATCAGTTCAAAAGGCAGTTCTACTTATGTGTGAACGAGAATGGTGTTTTAGTCCAGCAGCACTAGTGGAGACTTTCCTTTAGTGGTAACATCTGGGAAAATGCCCAAGTAGGAGAGAGCTGTTCTGCTCATCAGAAATATCAAACTTCTCTCACTCTCCTTAAGAAAAAAAAAAACAGTCCTCTTTTATGAAGCATAATTGAAAAGAAAGCTCTTGAAAGTGCTTCTAATTGAGCTTGTTAAGTTGTGTTTGTCCTAGACCTAATCCTCTTAGACCTGTCAGAGCAGTGGCTGCTCTTCCTCTCCCTCCCTAGCCCCACCAAGCCACGTGCAGGGCTCAGATGAGAGCACAGTGCAGTCAGAAGTGGCCACTGGAGGCTTCTCTCAGTCCCCTGGGTGAGCCTGAGGACTCAGCACTGAGAGCAAATCCTGCTGGCCCCGAGGGGTTGTACAGGCAGTGCCAGTGTCCCCTGGGAGGGCACTGCTGGGTTCCTGCTGCTGTGAGCTCTGAGCCAGCCCAAGTTAATGGGAATAAGAGTATTTCCCCTACTTTGCCTGATGGTTTCCTTGCCTTGCAGCTGGGCTGAAGGCCGGGGTGATCGGCTGCGGGGGATTCGCCGCTTTCTCCGCTGCGGTCGATTACTACCTCCGGTAACAGCCAGGTCCCTCGGGAGCAACAGTCCCTGTTCCAGTGCTGCTGCTGAGAGCCTGCACCACAGCACAACCATCAGGCTTACCTTTCCACTGCCTCTGGAGTCGGGGTGGCGCTGGCCACTTTCTGAATGACTAACAGCAACCTGGCTGCGAGCCCTGGCGAGCTGCTCCGGGCAGGCTTGCGGGAGCATGGGAGGATGGAGCCAGACACAGAGCAGCATCTCCAGGACAGATCAGCTGACTGTCAGTTTCCAGGAAACATGCCTGGACTCTGATCCTTTGGGGCTGATTTTGATTAAGTCTGTTGCTGGCATCAAAAGAAGGCAGGAGGACAATCTTCGAGGAGAAATGCAGCGATTTAGGTTACCACACATTTGAAGGTGCTGCAAGTGTTTTAAGAGTCACCAGTTTGCAGCTTGCTACTCTGTTGGGGAGAGGTAAGATCCTGTGGAGAAATAAGTTTGTTCCAGGCTTTTCTTAAAATACCATCTGAAGACAAACCACCATCTGTACAACTTGTCTTATTTCAAGTACAGAGATGAGCGCCAGATTTCTTTACCATGTTTTAAAGGGAAAAGCAGAAAGGAATCCTTAGCCTTAGAGCTGTGTGGTTACTGGCAGATGAACAAAACAGTTTAAAGGAAAAAAAGAGGTTGTTGCTGAAGTATAATTCTCTGTAGCCACTTGGCTAGCCTGATTTAACCTCACTGTGGGAGTACAATCTTGCTACTGCTTTAACTGCCCCAGGCTCACCCCATTAGTTCCAGCAATTTGATAGTGAGACTTAGAAAGCAGAGCTGTGAGAATAAACCAGTGTTTGACAGATAGCTGGGCACTCACTCAGCACACAGCCTGCTTCCCATCACATCCCTGTGCCACCTCCAAGTGCCCCAGTGTTACACAGGGGGAAGTGAGTGTTTTTTCTGCCCAAAATTGGTGCTGAAATCAAAACATCTTGTTTGTTAGCTCAAGGAGCTGCTGCCTCTTTGATTGGTGTTCTATCTGTCCTCCTGCTGTTCTGACCAAGCTCTGTTCTCAGACCTCAGAGGGTCATTTTTAACCCTTATTGAGCCACTCCATAAAGGCAAACACTCCCTCTAATCTTTTGGAGGCAGTGGCATTTCAGATGCAGTGCACACAACTAATAGGGATTCTCCCCCCCACTTCCCCTCCTTTGCACCCACAGTTGGACATCCCAGAACAGTGACAGCCCTTGTTGACCTGGAAGACCAGCAGTGTGTTTTGGCTGGTACAGTGGTCAGTGGTCAGTTTGGAGGCACACTGGCTCCCATTCCCACATGGAAAGAAGTGGGGAGACAGCAAGCACCATGTGATCTATCAGATGAGGTTTCCAGATCTCCTGATGTCCCTTGCTGTGCCTGTTCAGTATCCTCAGGCCAGAAGCTGTGCAAGTCAGCTGAATTTTAAGCTTGAGTAATTCTAGTCTGATTAAACAGCCTGGCTCCAGACAGTCCAGTTTTTTTTCCTCCAAAATGCAAGGATATAGCCCAAACCATAAGAAGTCTCTTCAAAGATTGCCTAGCACAATGCCTGTGCTTATACCACTGGCTTGAAGTGCAACTAGCAAGCATTCCACAACAGAAATAAGAAGCTGTGATGCCAAAGTGATCAGTTAGTGCAAACAGCAACACCACAGGGCTTCTTTTGTGCAAATATCGGGGCTTTGCAATTTTATTAACATTTTTTTTTCTCCTCACGAGGTTTTACAGCCATTTAAAGTTTATAATCTACAGAAATTGAAACAGAACACAAACAAAAATATATCCTTAACAACTTTTGAAAGTCAAATATTAATTAACAGTTCTATTCTACCTGTAGCTGCAAGAGTCCACCCCCCTCTTTTCCTTCCTGAAGGGACAAGCAAAAGCCAGTCATAGGGACAGCCACAGCCTGTTGTGCTGGGCTGTAGGGACCAGGCCTCCAGCCACTGTCACAGGGGGAGATTTGGCTGTACAGAGTCTCCATCTGGAATTGACAGTGTCGTGGACAGAGACTTGGACACATGTAACAAATCAGACACACGCAGGGATCCGTTGTGCAGTCAGAGCTAAAGCTCGGCCTCCTTACTGGGTCCAGGGCCAAGACAGACGCCTGGTTATTTTCTGCAATGCTGTTTCCCTTCTGTTTAGCTGGTAGTCAAGAGGAGCAGGGTCTGGAGTGTGAGCCCTTTGGAGGGGGACTGAGACCTCCCCTCCTTGCTTTGCTGGTGCAGGGCTGGCAGGTGCTGCCTTCCCCAGGGAGGTGGCTGAGGACATACCTGGTGCATCGGTGGCTGGGCTCTGCCTGGAACAGTCCATTAATTGGGAGGGTAAAGGCAACGCTGCTGTGGGGGACAGGCTTGGTCACTTCTCATCCATCTCCATTTGGCACAGGAGAGCACAGGGCCAACACAGTCGGGGACATGGGGGGGCTTTTCCCACAAGAACACGGACTCAGCTCACAGAGCGAAAGGTTTTGTGTCCCAACAGGTACCAACACCTACATGGGAGCGTGGGGGACATCCCAGGAGCCGGGCACTGGGGCAGCCACTGGGACAAGGCTTAACAGCTCCAGCCATCAGCTTGGGAGGAGTCACTGGCGCCACTAACAAACAGACCTGAGCTGGCTGGCACAGCTAATCCAGCAGCAACCACTTTGGGAGCAAGACAGAACGAAGCATTTCTGCCTTCAGTCACAAGGGCCATGAAGGCTTTTTTCCTCCTCCCATCCTTCTGTGCTGGTTCCCAGGCTGGGTGACCATCCAGCTGCTGCAGAACACTTGCCTCTGGCAGCCAGGCTGCCACCGAGGCAGGGCCGTGTGCTGCCATGTGCCCAGTGCAGCAGGGAAGCCAAGGAAGGGATAAGAATCTCCTTGTCCCCATGGCCATGGGAGGAATGCTGGTGGCCCAGCAGGCTGTGCCACGGGGTGCATGCAGTGCTCATGGCAGTGCTGGGCTGGCAGGGGCATGAGTGCCTCACTATGGCAGAGACAGAACTGTACAGCAGATACCCTGTTCCCCACCAAATTTCCAAACTGGGGAAATATGTGGCCACATCAGTGCCAGAGCAGACGTGGGGTCAGCCCATGGTGCAGAAAGCAAACCTGCCTCTGGCTGGCCATCCTTTCACCCTGCTGTGGATTGAGACCAGCACAGCACCTCTGGCTCCAGCCTTGTGTGAGAGGTTACCCCATAACGCTGCTCAGAGGCAAAATCCAGCCAGGGCAGGAACCACCACGCCACACACACACAGGCAAAGCACAGGGCTGGGACTGCAGAGGGGACTGGCCTGAAAACACCCAGAGGAGCCGTGGCAGGGAGGAAGCAGCACCCTGCTCCTCTGCTCTGGTGGTCGCAGGTTTGCTCAGACCGGAGCGGGATCCAGGCACAGGGTCCAACGTTTGCGCAGGCAGGTGAAGCCAAAGCAGAGCTGGTTGTCACTGTCACCAGGGAGGGAGGCCCGTGAGCTCCCGGCCTCGGAGCGAGCCAGTGCTGCACATGCAGGCGTGGGCAGGGAGCTGGGCAGCAAACAGGCACTCGTGGGGCACTGCAGGCTTCAGGCAAGGGGTGCCTGGTAGGAGTGAGCGGGCGGGAAGGAGTCCAGGAGAAAACTAGCCAAGGGGGAAGCCTGTGTCCACAGCCCTTGTCAGTCACTACCTCTTCCGTTGAGCAAATATACATAAAAACAATCCTTGAACACAAGAAGGGACATAAGACACGACTACTTTACAGAGAGGGCCTGGCACCTGGTGGGACCGGGCCACTGGAACGTGATTGTACAGGAGCTGCAGGCAGCACCGGCCTGGGTCTGGGCTGGTCTCCCTTGGGGGCTGTGGTCCAGTCCGTGTCCCCCAGCAGGGAGCTGGAGTGTTTGCAGCTGGTGCCTTCTGCCTGCAGGCTACACGTCTGTGGAGAAGTAAAGTGTGTTGCGTTTGAGCTCGCTGAAGGAGATGGGAGGATGCTGCAGGTAGTAGAGAAGGACCTGGACCTGTAGAAGGTAAATAGGGGGTGTTAATACAGAAGGGGAAAGAGCTGCCACCTGCCAGCTTGTCCCATCCAGCAGAAAGTAACAAATCTACCCAGACAGGCAGGTGAACCCCTCCAGTACCCAGCTCTTACCTGGGCCATCACATCGTGGGACCAGATGTCAGAGGCCAAGGTGAGGTGTGCCTTGCTCTCCCCCTCTGAGGGTCTCAGAAGTGTCGGCCCAAAAACCGTGGCCAGATTGTGGAGAGACATTTTGTTGATAGGTTCCTTTTCAGCCACCCTGTGGGAAACAGGGAGAGAGGCAGTGTCAGCCCCTAGTGATGTTCAGGAGTGGGGAGCCATGGGGTGATGTGGAGGCAGAGGGCTGCTCTCCCTTCTCCCAGCAGCAGTGGGGCACCTCCAGCTTTCCACTGCCCTCTGTAGCCCTCAGAAAACCCAGGTGCAGGGCAGGGAGCTCTGCCCCCTTCACGGCCTCTGCTGGAGCTGCCGGGCCTGGCTGGGAGCCCTGGGTGTGATGTGGCAGCAACCAAGCCCTCACTTTGCACTGCAGGGCCTCCTCCCTTCCCGAGCCCGCAGGGTCCGGGGAGCCCTGCACCAGCCCGTGCCCCCTGCACCCACTCCCCTCGAGGCTCCCTGCCCCAACAACCCTGTGGGAGCGCTGCCAGCACGGAGGGAAGCAGGACCACAACATTGCCATGTTAGGAGGCAGCTGTGCTCCCCGGCACAGGCTGCTCGCTTGAGCCCCGGCCAGGGGAGCAGATGTGGGAACTGGCTGTGCCCGGTTCTCAGGATGGAAATGGATTTTTCCTTCTCCATCCCCCAGCATCAATCACTTTTTCTGTTTGGTTTTAGCCAAACCAAAGGAACAAAAAAAAAAACTTTAATGATGCAAGTAACATGAGCTGTGAGCCCCAGTCCCAAGCTGTGGCCAGGCTCTGCATTCTGCTCTGCTGCCCTGTTCCTTCCCTGGGTTTTTAGGTCCCAAGGGAGCCCCAGTCCCTGAGTTCCTAGGTTTGGATGCACCTCATCTGGACCACGACAAAGCCTGTCAAACCACAAACTGCTGCACTCACCCTGGGATAGCTGACATGAGGTGTCACCTGCAGTTCTGGGACATTTCCACAGAGCTGACTGTCCTTGGTTCTTGGCCACCCGCTGCTGACAGGTGACAGGGATTGCTGCATCTTGTTTTGCAAGGACTACTGCTGGACTGATGGGAAGGGACACAGAGCTGTTTTCCTGCTAAAGGGGACACTGCAGAGCTCCCAGTTGATTCCTGTCCTGTGCTGAGGCCAGCTGCTCCCTGCAGAGCTCATCCAAGCAGCTGCACGCCGGCTGCAGCAGCCAAGTGTTCCGTGTTTGCAGAGGCCGTGTGCTCCCTGCAGAGCTGACCTGGATCACTGGCCAGGCACAGCCCAGGCCCTGCTGGCACCACAGCTGGTGGTCCTGGGACACCAGGGGCTGCTCTGGAGGGGCAGAATGGCTCCAGGACCCCCCAGCATCCTACAGGACCCAGGAGAGGAGATGTGGAAAGCCAACACCGATATCAGAGAAGGGTTTGAACAAGCTGCAGCCTGGGGAATTTGCCAGAGCCCAGAGAGACGGGGCAGGTGGGACACACCTGGAGCTGTACCCTCTTGGAAGGGCTGGGAAAAGACCACTCCATGCCTGCCCCAAGCTGCTGTTGCTGGCCCTGCTCTGCACCAGCACAGCACCATCTCCCTCCAGCCTGGGGTCAGCCTGGAGCCGTGCAGGCACCACAGGAATCAAACAGCAGCTCTAACTCTGTTCATGTCCCATCCCCATGGCAAAGCAGTGAGACAGACCCATCCTGCACCTCCCACCCATCCCAGGCAGCCCCTGAGGCATTACCTTTTCAAGTGCTCCAGCAGGAAGAGGAAGGTGATGAGGTTGGGGTCAGGCAGCGAGCGGAGAAGGTGCATCATGCAGTTCTCCTTGGCAGCAGGATCCGAGAGGGCTGGAGGCAAAGAGGGAGAGGGCTCAGGACAGGGTCTGCTGCAGCAGCAGGACCCTCCACAGCCAGACACCTCCCAGCAGCCAGTGTGTGAGCACTGGGGAGCAGCACCACGAGCCCTGAGCTGACTTGGAACCAGCAAAAACAGCCAGGACCAAGTGGGCTGAGCTGGGAAGGACCCTTGGGAGTGTCCCATCGCAGAGCAAGCAATGCCAAACAGGATTTGTGCCTCATCCCCTTCCCATCCCCGAGTTCTTACCGATCCCCTCCATGAAGGCGGGGTAGAGTCTGTCAGTGAGGAGGGGCTCGGGCAGCTCACGGAAGTACAGCTTCAGCGTGCCAGCGATGGCGTTGATGTCCATGTCACTCAGCATCACCAGGATGTCCTTGTTATCTGTCCAGAGAGCACCCACACGTGACACCTCCTGCCCTCCTGACCCCACCCTGTGTGTCCCTCCAGCCACCCAGCCAGGCTGCCAGCTGCAGGGCAGGGACAGCACTGCTGGGTTCACAGCCCCATTAGCCATGCTGAGGCTGGGAAAAGCCTGGTGGCTCCCGCCTGGCTGGGCAACAGGACACACAACAATTTGCAAATCCATTTGCAACATTTCCCTGACTCAGTGTCTCCCAGGAGCCAGCCAGGAGTGGCAGCAGCTCAGAGGCACAAACGAGCTGGGATCTCTGGGTGTTTTTGTCCCTCCTCACCCCCAGCCCCTTCCTGTGCAGAGTGGTGCATCTGCCACATGTGCAGTGCAATAACCAAACCCAGGCTTGCAGAGGGCTGGGGGGGGTCTCGGAACACCCAGCTCCCCCAGGACACTCACTTGCATCAAAGACAGCTTTCAATGCCTGGATGTCAGTGGCGACTCCAGAGATCCTGTAGATGCCAACCTCGTCGATGCCCCTCTTCTCCACCTCCTCGACGCACTGGCGCACGATGTAAGGCACCTTGGAGCGCTCGCGCCTGGCTCGGCAAGAGGAGATTCAGCAAAGATTCCCAGGGGAACCCGTGGCAGCCAGCCCAGCCTGCAAACCCCGCCAGGGCAGGATGGGCATGCACAGGGGAGGATGGGAATGGCTACGGGAACGAGGAAAGTCCCCAGCAGAGAGCAAAGGCCAAGCTCGCCAGTGCTGGTGGGAGCAAGGGGACACAGTGCAACCCCACACCCAGAGATCAGCCCCACAGCCCTGCATTTACTTTGTCACAACACTGATTTTCACCCCGAAGACACCAGTCTGCTTTTTGGACGGGGTCCTCTTCAGGCTCATGTCCCTGCTTGTGAACTTCATGGAGAACTCCACCTTGATCTGTGGGAGACAGGGGGTGAGTCCTGCCTGGCCTGAAGGCAAGAAGGGGCTGCATTCACAGCGAGGGGCTGTGGGTCCCCCACCCCACTTACTCCGTTCATCTCAATCACATCCATGTGCCAGTTCTTCGTCTGCACGGCCTGTGGGTCCAGCTGTGGGGAGAGATGGTCTGTGAGTTCTGTGGGGACACAGCCTCGTGCCAGCCCTGCTGTCATCCCAACCTGGTGGCCCCCAAAGCCCCTGATCTGCAGATGGTGTAGAGCACAGGGTATGCTTTCCCTCTGCAACATGCTGCTCATGACTGGAGGATGGAGGGGTTCCCCTTTGGGGTCTGGGGTCCCTCTGGCTGTGCCCTGGAGCCAGGTGGGCTCAGCACCCCCACCCTGCCCTCTCCCCAGAGCCCCTGCAAGGCAGTGCTTTAACCCACACCCAAGAAGCAAGAAACTTCCAAGAAATTAGGACTATTTCTGGCGGCAGATTGATGAAACAGAACTAGGGCAGCGTTTTCCATGCAGAAAAACAACATCTCCCCATAGCCAAGGCTATTTATAACCCCTGGGAATGACAGGCTCTGCTATTTCTGGCTTTGGGGCTAGCGGGGGACTCGGTGATGCTGCCCTGGCGCCCGGGTGCAGAGAGAGGTGCTGGCATTCCCAAGGCCCTGGCACGTGCCGTGGTGGGTTCCGAGCCCCAGGGCTGGGCAGAGGTGGCTGCAGTTGCCTTTTGGAGCTTTTTGGTCCCCAGCTGGTGGTATTGATCCAGCCCCATCGATCCCTGTAATGCACAGGGCGGGCAGCCCAGCCCTAATGTCCCCTTGGGGAAGGGGATGGGACATGGGAGCTGGTGGGAGCTCCCAGGGCTGGGGACATGCAGCTGCCAGGCCACACTTGCACCAGGCACGTGGGGTCACTCTGCAAGGACACAGGAGCTTCCTGCAGCTGCTGGGTCAGGAGATGCTCTGGGCTAGTGTAAAGATGTTCAGAGCTGCTGCTCCAGCCACGGAGCTGCTGTTCCCCTGCCCGTAAAGTCACTGCATGTCATGATGGGGGGGCACTGTGGGGTCCCTCATGTCCCTTCTTGCACACCAAGACCCCACAGTCCCAAGGACAGGCTCAAGCTGCCCTGGCTCTTGGCACAGACCCAGCACAGTGGCATTGCCACATGCCCAGCCTTCTGAGCCCGAGCAGCTCCTCAGCCATGGGAAAACTGTGGTCCCCAGCAAGGCAGAAATGCTGCTGCCTCCCAGGAATGGCTCCTGACAGGGAGCCCCCCCTGGTGCTCCAGCCCAGCACATGGAAGAGCCCAGCGAGTGCCACGCTGCTTCCTCTGTGCCAGCCCTGCGGCTGCTGGAGAGCGGGAGGAGGAGAGGGAAAGCTGCAGCTGCCCTGGGCTCCCATGGGACCCTGCAGCAGGTCTGGACACTGGGATCACGAGACTGCAGCCAGACCACAGCCAACCCCAGCCCTGCTGCTCCAGCTCCTCTGTGCTCCCCCGCAGGGCTGCATCCCCCACATGCTGCCACAATGCCACCACAGCCAATGCCACTGTCCCAGGGACTTTCACCCTTTTCCCCACACATCCCTGTCCCACTCATGGCAGTGAAGTCCCTTCTTCCCCCAGCCAGGTCAGGAGCCTGTCTGCTCTGCGATGCAATTTTAACTCCAGCCACCATGCATGCCTTCCCCCTCCCCACCCCTCAGGTCCCTCTGGCTCTGATGGCCCTGGCAGCCACATCTGGAAGGGCTTTAGAGAGCTCTGAAGAAAGCTTTTATTAAAGCCAGGTTGGCTGCTGCCAGTGCTGCAGACCTTACCCTGAGCACATCACTTCCCTGCAGCCCCTTCCCCCTGCATGGCCACAATCAACCCACAACAACCAGCAGGGCCCAAATTTGGGCTAGTTCTGCTGGCACCATGGGCCTGAGCCCCCTTGCAGCTCCCTGTGCACCACTGTGGCCTAGCCCTGGTGCTCTCCAACCCTCCTGGCCAGCACTCCGTGCAGCAGCAGCAGCAGCACACGATGCTGCCACTCCCCAGTTCGAGCAAAGCCACGTCCAACGCTTCATCTCCAGGCGTGGGAGGATGGATGGGAGCATCCACCCACAGAGCCAGAGCTCTGCCCACACAGTGCTGGCAAACACCCTGCCCCAGCTCCCACCACCATCTCCTTCTCCTCCGAAGGGAGCTGCCTTGCTCCAGCAGGATGCAGGGACATCCCAGGTCGATGGGGAACTCCTGGGCTAGGAGCCCTGGGGAACAGCCTTCGAGCCAGCGATGTGCAGGATGAGATGTCAGCTCCTCTTTGGAAGATCAGATGGCTTCAAACACCCCTCTGTGCCTGGGGAAACATCTCAGCCAGGTCACCAGCACGTCTCCAGGCTGCTCCCTCCTGCATCTCAGGGGCTCTCAGCCATGGTGGTATCCATGCCCAGGTCAGCATTCGCTGTGGTGCCGCTCTCATCCACAGCGAGGTGAAACACCCTCTGTTTGTTGCCACAGGGATGTGCCATCATCCTGGTTTCCAAAATTATCCAAAGCTGTTTGTTTGTAGGACAAGGCCCCAAGTTGTGGAGGAACAGGCGATGAGCATCCTGGCAATCCTGCAGCACTTTGTGTGTTCTGGGGGGGTTCTGCTGGCACTGACCCTCCTCTCCTACTGCTTGTCTTGTCCATGGGACAGCTCCAGACTTGAGGTGATGAGGCCACATCCTGGAATCTTGTCCTCAAGACACTTCCAGGTCATGGCACTGTGACAGATCCAGGCAGGGCTGGGTTCACAGAGCTCCAAGGTGAGGAGCTGGTAGGGCTCCAAATCCTCAGGGTGGTTCCCCAGGGCCCCAAACACCAGGATGCTGTGGTGGGGCAGGGACTGTCAGGCTGGGCATGTCCCCATCTCACATCTCAGGCCCATGAGGTCACCCCAGCTCAGCCTTGGGTGAAGCAATTGGGAGCAAACCGGTGACTCAGTCTTTGAGGTCATCCCTGCCAGGGCCCTGGGGAGCGGGATCCCAGAGGAGCTGCTGCAGCCAGCGTGGCTTCCCATCAGCGTGGCACCCACAGATTCCCCAGCCTGGCCCCCCGTGGCTGCCCTGGCAAGCAGATCCCTCACCAGCCCTCGATGCCAGGGAGCAGACAGTCCCTGAGCCCCCAGCACTGTGGGGCAGAGCAGCCCCCACACCAGCAAACGCTGCCAGGGGCAAAGCACAGCCCCCCAAAAGAGCAACAATTCACAGCCCGGACTGAGAGTGACCCGAGGAGCAGCAGCAGCACCCACAAACCCACCAGGACCCTGCATGGACCCGCCGGGGCCACATCCTGTCCTGCAGCCCCAGGGAAGCCAGCAGCCAAGACAAGCACGGGAAATGAAACCTTTCATGTTTTGACCCAGCAACAGCCTCCGGGCAGCCTCCTCACGGAGCCCTGCTGCCCCTTAATCCCCTGGGCTCGGCTCAGAATCGAGGTTAATGCCGCTGCGTCACACGCGGCCCTGCCGCTGCCAAACCGAGCCCCCCCGGCCCGCAGCTCCCCGGGCAGGGGCACCCCACCGAGGGAGACCCCCGTGGGGCTTTCGGGACAGCCTGCCAGGGTGCTGTCTCCCTCCTTTTGTCACCTATGTCGCACATCCCTGCGCTCTGTGTTCCCACAAAGACGGGCAGCGCTGGCTGATGTGGCTGCGACACAGCTGCGAGCTGGGAAAGCCTGGATCGACCCGGGTTGCAAGAGGGGGGACGCAGGCACCGGGTGCTGTGGCACCCCGGGAAGCCGGCCCCAGCCAGCCCAGAAGCATCGCTGCCTCCCGGGCAAGCTCCAGGGCCGGGCAGGGATTCCCTGCCCTGCCTCTGCAGAACCCCCCGCTGCAAACAGCTCAGCCTCAGGGAGCCTGCCAGCACACAGAGGGAGAGGGACGGAGGAAAACAAACACCTCACAGGCTGCCAACTGCATCTAAGAGCTCCCAAAGCACCCAAACACCTCCCTGCTCCATGCACAGACTCATCCTCCGCACAAACAACACAGCCCCCCACCCCACAAAACCACCGGCCAAAAAAGCCACGGCCACCACGCAGAGCAGACCCGGCAGAGCCATCCCGGAGGCCAGCACCGTCCCCCGCAGCCGCCCCCCACACCCCGAGCACCTTCTGCCGGAGCAGCTTGCTGCGCACCCTGCCCCAGAGCCGGGCGCCCGTGTTGGGGGCTCGCTTCCCCTCGGGCTCCTCCACGCTGCCGGGGCCGTCCTCCGGCTGTACCAACACCTCCGTCATCGCCACCACCGCTTCGGCTCCGGGCAGGCGACACGAGGGCGGCCGGGAGCGGCTGGGTCAGCGCAGCATCCGCATCGCTGCTGCCGGCGGCGAGAGCTCAGCGGCGGCCGGCCGGGGCAGCCCTGCCGGGGCGGCGGGGCGGCGAGCGGCCGGGGCTCATCTTCAGGGTGTGAGCCAGCCTGGCGAGGCAGCCCCAAAAACCTCCCTCCCCCTGCGAGGAAGTGACTCAAAGGCGGCCCCCACGCGTTTAACTCTCGCCCTGCCGCTCGGCAGCGCCGGGGGGGCTGCCCGGGCTGCCCGCCGCCGTTATCCGCCGTTATCCGCTCTCGTCATCCCTCTGCTCTTCTCCCTCTGCCCTTCTCCCTCTGCCGCTCTCCCTCTGCCCTTCTCCCTCTGCCGTTCCCCGCCTCGCAGCGCCAGCGGCAGCCGCGGCCCCCGAGGCACCGCCGCTGGCGGCTGCAGCATCCCCGGCTCCCCGCGGGAGCCAGGCTGGCTCTCCGGCTCTTGCTGAGGCTTTTGGGGTTTGTTGTCACGCCTAGGGACAGCTGGGTACCCCCATGTCCCCTCTGTGCACCCTGGCCCCTGTCAGCCCCGCTGCCAGGGGGGCAGGGAAGCCCTGGAAGGGTCTCTGCCTGAGTGCAGGCCTGGGGGGACTTGCATTGCCCCCCAGCCCATCCCTCAGCAGCCCCTGGAGTCCCCTCGGGTCACTGGGGCTCCCTGCAGGTCTGGGGTGCCCCAGCATCAGAAATCTCCCCCCCCAGAGCCTCTGCCAGCCCAGGGAAGGGGACAGACAGACAGACAGACAGGCAGCTATTCCCTGAGGGCACAGCAGGCACTGTGCCCATGACAACACAGGCTCTGCTTCAACAGCCAAATCCCCCCGGGCATCAAATGGGCTGAGGAAGGGGGTCCTGAGACCCCCCTCATGCACCCCCTGCCTGTCTCCTCCAGGGCCTGGGGGCCACATCCAGCCTCTGTCCTCTGCAATGTGGGCACAAGCACCCACGGCCTGCTTTGCCCACCACAACATCCGTCTGCCATCCTGGCACAGCACCACACAGCCCTGCCAGCACCCAGCAGACACAGCCCAGATGCTGGGAGCAACTGGGACAGCTCAGAGCAGGGCTGAGCCCTGCAGTGCAGGGGACACAAGACCCTCATGGGGACACGAGCCAAACAGGGCAGCCTTACCCCAACCACAGCATATTCCAGCTTTAAAAATGGGGTTAATAACAACAAAACAGGGTTAATACCAACCAGGAGTCACACCTTTCCACTGAGCACCCAGGGCTGCTATGTGGAACCAGCAGCAGCTCATGATGAGCCCAGGGACCAGCCAGGGTGAGGAACATCCAGGGCAGCATCTCTGCCTGAAGGGCGCAGGGAGAAGGCAGGGGGGCAGCTCTGGGGCTTGGCTGCAGCCCACAGCCCCAGAAGCAGCACTGCCCATCCTGCTCACAGCTGTCCTGCCCTGTCACCAAGCCCACCCCCGGGGCAGAGGCCGAGCTGTGGCTCTGGGTGATGGCAGGACAGCCCTAACCCTGTTACTCTTCCATCCTTGGGATAAGCAGCCCCAGGGCCTTCTCTCTTTCCTGCTCTTCCCCCACAGCTTTTGCACAGCGGGTACGGGCTGTGCTGTCCCTGTCCCGACCCCCGCATCTCCCAGCATGACTCATGTTTGTTGATCCAGGCTATTTCCGAGAGCGCAGCTGGACTGATCCCCGCGGGACACCGAGCCCCTTCCCTGCCCTGGCCTTCCCACTTGGCCCAGTGCCACCCCCACAGCACTGCTGCCTGGGGGAGAGGGCAGCACAGGGGTGATTTCAGGTATGGACAAGCCACTGGTGAAGCTGAGCCCCCACCTCCCACCCCGTGTCCCCTCCAGTGGTGTTTCCCCACAGCATCCCCTTCCCAGCAGCACTTCCCTGCTGCTCTCTGCTCCCCTGGGACCTGCCCTCAGTTGCTTTCCCACGGAGCAGGCAGCCATGAGGGGCCCTTTGAAGTGGCCCCGGGTCCAGGGCTGTGTCCCAGGCGTGACCCTGTCCCCAGCACTGCCAGGAAGGCAGCCAGGCTGGGCTGCCCACCAGGAAAACACAGAGACCCCCCCTGCCCAAAGTGTGTCCCCCTGCCCTGGGCTTCCCTGCAGCCTGCCAAGGTGGCTGCAGGGGGAATGGGAGGTCTGGGGGTTGCCTGCCCTCCACTCCATCCTCCTGGTCCTGCTCACCTGGGAGCATCTCAGGGCAGCCCATGCCTCCATCCTCCCTGCCTGGCAACCACCAATCAGAGGCGGCTCAGCCATTGCCCTGGAAACCCCCGTTGCCATAACAGCAGCTGATGGAGGCACAGGGAAGGCAGATGGTGGCAGAGGGGGACACAGGAGGGACAGGGGGCTGCACATACAGAGCCCTCCCCAGGGCAGCTGCCAATCCCTCCCCGCAGCCCCCAGGGCCACAGCACAGAGAGCAGAACAGAAACACTTCCAGCCCAGCTGGGGCTGGATGCACCTCAGCAGGGAGGGTCTGGCTTTGCCACCTCCACAAAGGCCCCCCTCACTTTGTCCCACCTTCTCCTGTGCCCCAGGACCATCACGTCCCATGCCTGAAGCCCACCCACCCCACAACTGCTGTACCTCACTCCCAAAAGCAGAGCTGCCCACCCCAGGCATCGCTCCAGGACAACCCTCCCAGCCCAGGTGCCAGGCCCTAAGGAGTCTCCCTTTGGTTGAGAGGATGCCCAAAAGCCCCAGTGCATACCTGGATCTGCCCCTTGCCCATGATCTTGTCCACAATTTCGTTGTTGTCCTTGTTGAGTTTGGTCTTGTCATAGCACTTCTCGTAGCAGAGGATGCGCAGGGACTGGGAGCCCTCCAGCTCAATCTCAAACTCCTGGGGTGTGGAGGGAGGGTGGCTCAACCCCAGCACCCCAGAGCAGCTCCAAAATTGGGGTTGAAGGGAAATGGGGAGCACAGCCCCTCGTGCACGCCCCCCTCCCTCACCTCATTCCACTGCGGCTCCGTGGTGTCCCGGAACACCCTGGTCTTGGCTTTGCTGACAAAGTAGCCAAAGGAGTCCACCTCCAGTGTGCAGTAGAGATCTGGGGGAGCAGACATGGCTCAGCACCCCAGGAACACCCTCACCATCTCCCAGGGGACCACTGGGAGCAGAGCAGGGCCACGTGCTGGACCCCAACTCTTCTAAGCCCACTGGCCCCTCCAAGCAGGGTGGGCACCCACACTTACTGGCTGACTGCTGGAAGCCCTTGGCAGAGTGGACGATGACGTGCAGGAACCCATAAAGCCCTGGGGACTCGTCATCTGTGGCAGGAGAGCAGAGGCGGTGTCAGGGCCTGGGTCTGGATGTCCCCAAGGCAGCCTTTGCCACCCTTGCCACAGCAATCACAGCCCCTGCAGTGACACCCAAATCCCCCAAGCCCCTGGAGGGACACCCTTAAGTCCTGTATCCCCCACTGACGACATCCCAAGCTCTCCTGCTGCTGGACAGCCCTGGGGGAGGTTCCCAGAGGGGCTGGCTGGGTCTCACCCTGGGCACGGTGCTCCTGCCCAGCACATGGCATGGGCTGCAGAGAGCCCGGGAGCAGCCCCTGCTGCAGCCGGGACTGCGCTGCCCGGGAGCCCGACGCTGCTCCAGCAGTGCCACCTGGTGGGAAGCTGTCCCCTGCACAGCAGAGTCCCTGCTCCAGCTCAGGGACCCCACAGCTCCTGCTCGGGATCATCCCGAGCAAAGCACCCCAGCGGCCACTCACCGTCCTTGTTGCTGGTGACTGGGATGTTGTGGACAGTGCGTAGCTTGAAGCAGGATCCTGTGAGCACCTGCAGCTCCACTGAGCTCAGGACAAAGGCCTGGAGGTCTGGGAGAGAACAGAAGCTTCAGAGGGACACAATCGGTGCTGGTCATAGAGACTGGGATCCTATAGGACTTCCCTGTGGCTTCTGGGGGTACCAGAAGCCCCAAAAGGGCCTTGGCAGCCCCAGACTCACCCTTTTTCTGCAGTTTCTGGATGGCCTCCCTCCACTCGGACCGCTCGTAGTCGGAGGAGAGCAGGAAGAGGTAGCTCTGTAAGAGAGGGAGATGTGGCAGGCTGCGTGCAGGCAGGGCTGAGCCCGGCCCCAGCCCGCCTTCCTCACCTTCCCGTTGCGGTTGTGGATGCGGAAGGGAATGGCAGGTGAGTTGAGGAGCAGCCAGAATTCGTTCTCAAACATCTTCTTCTTGAGGCGCTCGATGGCGCGGCTCTGCCCCTTGTTGGCTTTCTGCCGATGGGGAGCAGAGAGAATCTTTCAGAGGTGTCCCCCAAGACCCATCCCTGACCCCAAGAGCAAGCCCCACACCCTTCTCTCACCTCCTTCTGCACCTCGCTCTTGATGGCTGAGATCTTCATCTTCATGTCCTCCAGCTCGTGGTCGGGGATGACGTGCACCTGCGGGCAGTGCTCCGACTCCTCCGGCGAGGGGAACACCAGGTCGGCCAGGGGCACGTACCACTTGCAGTCGTACTGCTGGTGCTTCCTGCAGGAGGGCACGGGTGCTGACTGACGCCTGACCCCCTCCCTGGCACATTCCCCCCGTGCCCAGCGCCCTCCTTACCCCACGGCTGTCTTCTTCAGCTTGGCACAGAGCAGCACGTCGGTGAAGAGGAAGACGTGCCGCAGCTTCCGCGAGCCCTCCGACAGCTCCACCAGGAAGCCATCCTTGATAAGCTGCCGGGTCTGTGGGCCAGAGGGGCTGCCATGAGGGCAGGCAGGGAGCAAAGGCCAGCAATCCATGGGGAAAGGCCGACAATCCTGTCCCTCTCTGTGCCTCAGCCACCAGGAGCATGGGAAGGTCCATGTCCTCTATGCTTAATAAAGCACCAGCAAGCAGCAAGGACCAGGTACAGCCCTAATCTTGTACCTGGAACTGTATCTGGAGGAGCTTCTCCAACTCCTACCCAGGCACTAAGGAGCTCTTCAGGGCAGAGACACCAGCCAGGGGCTGGCAGAGGGCTCAGCCCTCACCCTGTGCCCAGGCACTGCCCACCCCACAGGCTCACCTCGCCCTTGGGGGTGGTGACCGCTGTCCTCCGGGGGTCGATGTCCTCATTGATGCTGGAGAGGAAGTTCTGGGAGATGCGGAGGGCGTCCTGGAGCAGGGGGTAGTCAGGGTGGTCAGCTGGGGTGTGCTTGAGGAGATCCTGCAGGGAGACGGGCACAGGTTAGCAGCTCGAAATCAGCCACCCTGGAGACCCCTCATCAGCACTCCCACAGCTGTAGAGCAGCAGAGACAGAGCCCCCCACCACCCCCGTGGGACTGGTGTGACACTCACGTGCAGGACGAGCGTGCTCCGTGTCACCCGGTCGATGGGTTTGTACAGCAGCGCTGAGGGGAGAGACAAAGTGTCAGCAGACACCTGTGGCTGGAGCCCTGGCCCCTCTCCCACCTTCACAGACAGCACAGGGGCAAGGAGGGGAGCCCAGATGCCCAGAGAGCTCCCCTGGTCTGCACAGAGCCCTGGGTGACCATCTGAGATCTGTCCTGCACAGCTGGACAACCGCGGTAGTGGCAGGAGCAGGGGGGAGCCAGCACTGCCACAGCCCCGTGTCCTGCTGTGCTGGGGACATCAGGAGCCACAGCCAGGCTGGTGTGCGGCCATGGGCCCTGGGGACAGCATGTCCCACCACACCTGTGGCAGCACAGGACTGGGACAGCCCTCTGGAGGGCAGGGCCTCCCCCGAGGGCTGCAGCCACCCTTGCTGTGTGGTGGCTGTGGAGCGGAAGAGCCGTTCCTCACCCTCAGCAGCTTTTTCAGTTTCCCTTTTGGCTCAGCGCTGGGTCCCATCCCTCACCAAGCTCTGCCACCCCTGTACCCACCTCTCTGCACCACCCCAGCCAGCCCTGGGTGCAAAGAGGGCCCAGGCTGCTCCAGCAGCAGCAAAACCTACAGAGAACACGGGGTCCAAGGCTTCAGCCCCACACCCCTGCCCCATGGCCCTGCCTGCAGCCCCCCCTGACTGCCTGTGAGGCTCCACCCAGGGCAGAGAGCAGAGCAACCCACACACAACCACACACAGGGGGTACAGACAGCCCCTTCTCCTGCCACACACCCTCCCAGCAGGAAACAGCCCCAGAGGCTCTTCAGAGGTGCATTTCAGTGGAAGCAGACAGACCCTTCTCCTCCTCCCCACCTCTTTGGGCAGGCAAAGGCACAGAGCCCACTCGCAGTGCTGCTCCCCGTGCCTGGCCACATTCATGTCTCCCCAGGCTGCCTCCAGCCTCTGGGGTTTCTCTTCACTTTGGAGCACTTCCCCAAACTGCCAGAGCTGAAGCAGGCAGATTTCAGCCATGGGAGAGAAGGAAAAGCTGCCACCTCCTCACTCTGGGCTGACTCGTGGGGGGTTCCCATCCCTGGGATCCCAGAGGTGCTGCCCCATGGCACCCAGTCCTGAGACAGGGTGAGCAGGGGGTCTCTGTTCAGGAGGTGACAATGCCAGGCTGAACCCCAAACAGAGGCTACACCCCCACGGCTCCATGCCAGAGGCTAAAACAAGAGCCCTGCTCCCTGTGACAGCCAGCAAGAACCCTGCTCTGGGATGAAGGTGGCAGGCAGGGTGCCCCCCTTTTCCACCATCCCAGACCGACAGGAAGGATGGACCCTCCTGCTGCCATCACCACAGGCACACACAAAGCTCTGGGGAGCCCATGGGTGGGGGGGGTCCCAGCACAACAGGGGAGCAAGGGGCTCCTTGTGCCCACAATCCTGCCAGCCTGGCACCCACGGGCAGCACAGGCAGGGATGCCCAGTGCCTCTCCTCCCAGCCACGCAGAGCTGGACATTGCAGCCCCACGATGCTGGGGCAAACGGGGACCCCTCCCCATCACCACCCACACAGCGCAGCCCGGCACGAGGGGGTCCCCCCAGCCCAGGATCCCCCTGCCCAGCCCGGCTCCCTCTGTCCCATCACCGGCACGAGCCCGTGCCCGGCGGGGACAGCGAGCGCGTGGCTGCGTGTGCCGGAGCCAAGATGATTCAACCGAGCCTGGAACAAAGACGCTCCCAACTTCAGCCCGCAGAGCACGACGCAGCCTCCACACCCCCGCCCCCGGCACAGACCCCGCGGCCCCGCTGCCCAGCGGCACCCCCAGCCCCCCTCGCCTCACCGTAGGTGCAGTTACAGCAGAGCCGGACGATGACGAGGATTTCCATGGCAGCCCCGTCTGCGCGCAGCCATCGCTGCCGCCCCGCACGGCTCCCGGCACCGCCGCGGGCGGGGAGGAGCGCTGGGCAGGGGCTGGGGGGCTGCCGCACGCCCCCCGCATCCCAAAGAGCCGCGATCCCCCCGTCCCCGCCGGCTCCAGGCGCACAAAGGGCTCGGTAATTCAGCCACGGCGGTCCCCCGCACACAAAAGGCTGCGTCCCCCTCCCCGCGCCCGCCGTACCCTCCATGGTGACGGACGTGTGGCTCTCCTTGGAGTCCTTGGGGCCCTTCACCTTCAGCTCCTAAGGAGGGAAAGGGCCATCAGCACAGCCCGCGGGGCTGGGGTGGGGGGAAGGTCAAGGTTCAAGGTCATGGGGTCCCCCCCACCCTTCCTGCACCCCCTGCCTCAGCCTGGCCGGGCTGGAGGCCACACAGGGGTGCTGGGTGAAGGAGTGTGGGCTCCTGCCCGGCTGGGAGCAGCTCTGGCTGTGCCCAGCAGCTGGGACATGGTGGTGATGCCACCGAGCTGAACAGGAGCAGGGGGCCCAGGCTGTAGCCATGGAGGTCCCCATTTCTGAAGGGGATCCAGGCACGGAGCTCCAGGCAGCAGGAGATGAGCCACAGGTGCCCACCAACACTGCACGGGGTGGTGACAGCACAGGCTGAGCCCAACCTGAGCTTGCACAAGCTGGGGACAATCTTGCAATGCCCAAAAACCACAGCCCTCCAGCAGAGCCCCCAGTGGCCCAGCCCTTGGGGACGGTCCCTGCCAAGTCCCCAGGGCAGGGAGAGCATCTCCACCGGGCAGACACTGTCAGCTCAGCCACCAGGACAGTGTTCTCTGCCCTGTGCAGGGACACAGCCCTGTCGCCCTGGCACAGCCCCATCCCAGCTTACCTCCGAGATCTTCTGGAACTGGTAGTTGCTCTGGCTGCACTTCTCTGCCGTCTCCAATGCAATTTTGTAGTTATCCACAAAGGCCTTGTAGACCCCCAGCTGGCTGGCCTGTGGGGAGTGGGGGTTAGCCAGGCACCAGCAGGGTGCTGAAGCCCCCCACAGCACCCAAGGGGTCAGGCAGCCCTTGAGGTGACACTGCCCAGAGCTGTCCCCTCCTGGCAGGACACTCAGCCAGCTGGGGGTCACGTGCTTGGCCCCTGCTCAGGGCAGGATGGTGGAGCTCCTGCCCAGCCTGTGCTTCCATAAACCTCCAAAATCCAGCAGAGAGATAACAAGTGCCTGGACAGCAGAAGCTGAAGCTACAGCCCTTCAACCTGGCCTCTCCTTCTCCTCTCCCCAGCACGGTCATGGCATCCATGGGCACAGCCCCTGTGGGCATCACAACTCCAAACTCATCACAACTCCAGCCCTTCTCCTCTTCCAAGTGGAGCAAGACCCAGGGAAGGTGCATACCAGCTTCTGGAAGAGGTGGCCCATGGTGACATTGCTGTCCCACTGCTGCACCTTCGGGCACAGGCTGTCATAGAACTCCTTGTGGATCTCATAGATATCCTGGATCTTGTAGAAAATGGTCTCGATCTGCTGGAGGGTGAGGACAGGCTGCGACGTGGTGGCCGTGGCCTTCAGTGGCTTCATGGGCTGCCAGAGAAGGGAGAGTTTGAGATGAGGGCCAAGAGGAGAAGGCTGGGGATGAGCAGGATCTGAGCTGGCAGTGGGGGCTGCCTGGGACAGATGGGTCAAGGCTGGCAGCTGCACCAGGGGCACTCCAGGCTCGTGCATCCTTGGACTTCCCCGCAGCGGCGGTGACCCCGTGTTGTGCAACAGCGTCTCGCCGTGAAGGTCAGCGAGTCCACAGCAGGAAGCAGGGCTATAAATATGTCCCCAACAGGGACATGGGCAGCAGGGGAGGTGAGATGGGGGTAGACAGAGCAAAGCTGGCCCTGGTGTGGCTTCTGGAGCTTTGCTGCCACTCAGGCTGACGTGGCTGGGGGAAGCCAGGAAAAATTACTCCATCCATCCATCCATCCATCCATCCATCCATCCATCCATCCATCATCCATCCATCCATCCATCCCTCCCTGGAGGGGCCGTGCTCACCAACAGGAGGGCCTCCAGCTGGTTGATGTAGATCTCCTCGCTGGCCAGGAAACCAGAGAGCACCAACTTCCGCATCTCCAGGCCTTTGCCAGCCTCCCGCTCGCCCTGAGGAACACAGCAAGGAGCCTGGCTGAGCCAGAGAGTGGCACAGGAGGAGACCCCTCACCCACCAGCCCATTCCTGGCATCCCCACATGGGCTCATATCCCTGCCAGTGTCGGGGAAGCTCCATGGCAAGGCGTGAGCATCTGCCTGATGGGCAGCAGAGCCCGTCTGGAGCCAGCTGGGAAAGCCACGAGCTGCTCTGGCTCCTCTCCCCTCCCTGCTCCGGGCTGGCCACGAGCCCGGTGCCGCTGGCAGCGCTCCAGGATGGCGCACGGCATGGCAGGACTCTCCCAGGGCAGAGTCCAGAGACGCCCAGTGAAGTCATGCTTGGCGCTGCATGGGCTCCCACGTGATGCAGCACCACCCTTTCCCTCGGCTGAGGCTTCCCTTGGGAAGTGCCACCCCAGCGGGCACTGCCCACTGGCACCGGGGCATGTCCCAGCACTGCAGCACTGGTGCTCCTGTGGTGTGACCCTCATGGCAGGGAGATGGCCGGGCTGGGGGGGCTCTGGGACCCTCAGCAAGGCTCTGCCAGTGCCCAGGCAAGGACACCCCAGGCCCTGGACCATCCTTGGTCCCACCTTGGCCTCTCCTCTTAAAAATCACACTTGAGGACCAGGCTTTGCTACCCAGACAGGGGCCAAGCAGGGCCATGGGGGCATCACTCTGGGCCACTCAGGATGGTTTGTGTGGGGACATTGGTCGTGTCTCACCTCTGCCCATGCCAGCCCTGGCTGTTGTGCCAGGGGACAATGGCACAACAGCCATTGTGCTGCAAATGCAGCAAATACCTGGGGGGCACAGCCCCAAGGTGGGCATGGCTGAGGATCAGCATCTCTCTGCCCCACTCTGGTGTCCATCAGCCAGCCCTGGGCGCTGCTGTGACAAGCAGAGTGTGCACCCTGCCAGGCTGCCCCACTCAGGCTGGCCCACGGTGACCAGCGCAGCAGGAGGGTGCACGGGGGGGCCACTTTTATTCACTAGGAGCTCGTGGGCTCTTTGCCACAGATTAGTCACGGGCTCTTCCTGCTTCCCCAGCCTGGGCCCTGCGCAGGAGCTCAGGAGATAAGGGGCCCACGCAGCCCACGGGGACGACGCAGCCCACGGGGACCATGTCAGCTGGACCCCCGTGACCCAGAGCAGTCACTCTTGTGGCTGCCCCACGCAGGAGACCCCAGGAGGAGCAGGGCCAGAGCCCTCTTCCAGCACCCAGGCATCCTGGCAGGGTGGGCATGAGAAGGAGGTTGAGCTGCACCTGCCAGCACAGGGGTCTCCCCTGGGCCACCCCCCAGCTCTGTTTTGGGACTGTTTAGGGGTTTCTGGTGGCTGAGTGTGGTCAGAGTGTAAAACAAGCCCCTTCCTGAGCATCCGGTGCCAGCTCTGCTGGGCCCTGCAGCTCCCACCCCGCAGCACATGGGGCTCTAATCCCCCCTGGAAGGACAGCTGGGGGTGACCCCACTCTGAGCCTCCACACCTGGAGCCTGGCACAGCCCCTGGCACAGGCAGCCCTGGGGGGTGGTGGGGCCGCAGTGATGCTCCCGCTGCTCCCAGCTCTGCCTCCCGCCAGCACCCACCCCAGGAGCTGTTCCAACAGCTGGGCATCACCAGCACCAGCCCCCTGTCCCCACACCCACTGCCCAGCACGGGAGCAGGGTCCCCCCGCTGCCCACCTTGTCGCCGGCCGAAAACGGAGACACGGGGCTGGTGGGGGTTCCTGGCTCAGAGTCATCTTCATCCTCCAGCACTTTATCCAGGTACCCTATGGCCTCCTCTTCCTCCTCCATGGCCGGCCGGGCAGCGGGGGGCAGAGGGGACCCCGCAAGGCTCCGGGCGAGGGGCTCAGGCGGCCGAGCCGTCCCAGCCTGACTCAGCTCTGGACGCCGGCCACCAGCGCGGGATGAAAGGAGCCATTATGGGATCCCCGCTGCTCCAGCCTGACCCAGCTCCGGCCTCCCGGTCCCCGGCGGCCCGGGCGCCCCCGGCGCGGCTGCTGAGCCGCCTGCGAGCGGCCCGGCCCCAGCCCAGCCCCAGCCCCAGCTCAGCCCCGGCTCAGCCCCGGCTCAGCCCCGGCCCCAGCCGGCCCCGCCGCTCCGCCCTGCGCTCCACAGGAAATGCTCGGCCGGCGATGGAGGTGGGGCTGCTCCGCCGCCGCAGCCGCCCGTGGTCAGGGCTGGGCGAGCGGCAGCCGCCTTCCCCGGCTGGCTTTCCCAAGGTGGGTCCGGCAAGAGCCGCAGGGAGGGGTCCCCTGCCAGCCCCGCCGGCAGTGGGAGAGCATCCCTTCTGTTGTAGCCCTCTGGACCCCCGTGACCCGTGGGAAAGCACGGCCGGACCATGGGGATTGCCACCAGCGAGAAGTGATCCTGGAGGGCAGCAGCATCACCAGGTGCCACAGGGGGACCCGGCTGTGCAGTGACTCTGCAGGGCAGCAGCATCCCCAGGGGCCACAGGGACACCCGGCTGTGCAGTGACCCTGAGGGCAGCAGCATCACCAGGTGCCACACGGGCACCTGGCTGTGTGCCCCAGAAGGTACCAGAGCTCCCCCTGCCCCAGAGGGGACTGGTGGCTGTGTCACAGAGCTGAGCTCACACAAACCCACCGCACATTCCCGCGGGGACCAGCGGCACCTCCCCGGGACATGGGGACAGCAGCACTGCTGCCATGCTGGGGAGGGACACTGTGGGCCTTGGGAAAGCAGGCAAGAGCAGGCTGGAGGAGGGGACAGCAATGCAAGAGTTGTTTCAGCAGTTTCCCCCGGGCTCCTCAGAAGCAAAAGGGGAACCAGTGGCTGCATGTGCTCTGCCCGCAGGAGCCATCTCTTCTCCCTGCACCCATCTGAGCCTTCAACAAACCCTGCTGTGAGATGTGGGCAGGGACACAGGGACTTTCCAGAGCCGTGTCCAGCTCTGTGTCCATGCCACAGCTCAGCCTTTGCACCACAACCCTGCCCAGCATGGCCAGGTCCCTGGAGTGGGGAATGGTCCCTGTGCAGGGGAATGTCCACAGTGCCAAACCCAGAGTAGCCAAGCAGGGGCTGGGAAACCAACTCCACACCACGACCACATCCCACTGTGGGATGGGGAGGGGTGAGATATGTCTGCACGCAGCAGTCACAGCCCCAGACATGGATACAGCTGCCCCAGGAGCCTGCAAGATGAGCTGTCCCACCAGAAAGTTCCTCAAACCAGCCCTCTCAAAGTCCTGCCCCACTGGTGGACAGCAATGGGCTGAACCTGGCACCCTGTGCCACCAGCCACACAAGCTCAAGCCCGTGCCCCTCGCAGGACTGGACACACTGTGCTGGTATTGGAGGGAGCTCTGCCAAGCCCCAGCACAAGCAGCTCCAGATAAAGAGAGGGAGGCAGAGCTGGCACTGGGCTCCAACACTTCCCAATCCTGTTTGTCACAACCAAGTCAACGTCCCTGCCTGTGCCCAGACCCAGCGTGCCCCACCAGCCCTCAGGGACACCCCTCTGCCAGCATCTCCTGTCCCCCAGAGCCACCCTCTGCTGTCCCTGCTGCCCCCGGGGTCAGAGCCCCAGCACCGAGTGTCAGGGCTGGGGTGGAAGGGCTGTGCTGGGGGGACAGGGACCCCGAAGCCCGAAGGGTTTGGGACACCGGGAGGCGGTGGCAGAGGGCAGCACCCTGCTCTCCCTCCCCAGGGGCGCTGGGACGATGCTGCGCAGGGCGACCCTGGGGAGGAAGCCACACCTCTCCCTCTTCTGCCTCAGCATCCGGGTCAGGAGCTTAACTCTTTCCATGACAAAAATAAAACTTCACTCTTCCCGGCCCGGGCAGCGGCAGTGCCGGGGGATCCCGCAGCCCGGGTCCGTGCGGTTCTCCCCGCACTAACCCCGAGGGGCCAAGGGGCCTGCCTGGCCCCCGCCGCTCCCGGGCTCTATGGAAACTGTAATTCTGGAAAAAACCCCACTTTTTCCCCTTTGGATCCCACCCCGCAGCTCTCCGGGCATTCCTCCTCTTTGGGAAAACCAGAGCGCTTCCCAAGGGCGCGCTGCGAACAGCAGGGGTTACATTGAAGCGAGGGGGGGCACCTTGTGTCCCCACCCCTGCTGGTGGCTGGTCCCCGAGTGCCACTAGATGGAGCCGGCAGCCCGGCGGAGCCGCTGCGCCCTGTCCCCAAGGGCTCCCGGGGCTGGGGACCCGGGAACTCCGCACTTCCAGCACTCCCGGGACAGCCCATCCCCTCCCGGCTCTGTCCCACGGGCACAGCACCCCCGAGCTGCCGCTCCCCGGACCCAGACTGCAGAAATTGGGCTGCCGGGCACAGTCCCCCGGGTCACAGCACCTGCAGAGCCCCACAAACCCCGCTGGCAGCCGAGCCGGACACGCAGAGCCCCGACCCCCGCACCTACCCCTGTGCCGAGGCCATCGGCGGGCGTGGGTGACACACCGTCCCCGCTCTCCTGGCCGCGGGCGCTGAGCTGGGGGGACATGGTGGGCGACTCATCGATGTAGGGCATGGTTTCCGAGCCCTCCGGCAGCGCCTTGGGCTCCTCGTTGCCCTCGGCGTCGTACTCGTCCGCGCCATAGTTGAAGTCTGCCGGGGCGAGAGAGGGTGGCCGTGAGCATCCCGGCACGGCTCGGGGACACCGCATGGCACCGAGGCCACCCGGCCCGGCCTGTGGTGGGCAGCTGACCCCGCCACTCCCGGACAGCCCAGCCCAGCCCCGCCGCGCTGCCTGCTCCGCCGAGCAGGCGAGGAGACATCGCGCATCACACCGAGCATCCCCGGCCCCGCGGGCACCCTCCGCTCGACACACTTCCCTATATTTGAATAATTAACGGGACCGAGGGGCCCGGCGGGCTCGTCTGCGCAGGGACAGCTGCTCTGACAGACGCTCCAGCCCCATGCAAGTGGCTGTGCCCTGCCTGGGCCACCATCCCTGTGCCATCCCCGGGGACAGGCGAGCTGGGCTGGCAGCCACGGCCGCCGTCCTCCCTGCTTGCCCATGCCCACACTCTGAGAGCTGGAAATGCGTGCCAGGATCACAGCACGGAGGGCATTGCCACCCCCCCGGCAGAAGGGCTCTGTTCCCTCCCCGATGGGGATGGAGGGGGGCTGCATTCCCAGCGCAGGATGAGGCCCCCACTCCCCAGAACATCACCCATTTTTGGGTGCCCCACGCTGACTCACAGCCCCCCATCACCCAAGGCTGGGGGGAAGGCATTTTGGGGAGACAGAGCCCCAGGAGGGAGGCGGGGGGGGTCTGCAGAGGGGCCCTGGGGCGCAGCGGGATCCGGGGTACATCCCAACCCGTTACCATGGGAACGGCAGCGGCTCGGCGGCGGCGGGAAGAGGTGGCTGCAGCAGCCCCGAGATGCTGACAAAGGGGAGGGGGAAGGGAGCCCGGCTGCGGCAGGGCCGGCCGTGGGGTGCACCAGCACCCCCCAGCCCGTGTTTGCGGCCAGGAGCCCCTCGGCAGCGCCCAGAGGGGCCGGGGGCTCATCCAACACCCCCACCTCACTCCCCTCCCTTCCAGCGGCCCCATGGATGCCTGGAAGCCACATCCCCACAGGCTTCCTGGGCACAGGCACTGGGGAGACCCCAGCTAAGACCTCAGCTGACAAGCTGGCCACAACGGGGTGCACTGGGGTCAGAGCAGCCACCCCCACACCTCTGCCACTCCATGTCCCCACGGCCCTGCCCATCCTGGACAAGGACTCCCCTGGCTCCCACCAACACCGCTCAGCACATTAATATTACATCCTGCTTCCTAGGGAAAGTGGATAAATCTTTAAATCAAAGAGCATTGTAAAGCGTGCTCAGGCCAGGAGCCCTGCCAGGCCAGTGGGGAGGGATGGGGAGTCCCATCCTGCACCTGAGGGGGCTTGGAGGAGAGCTGTGACATGGCCAGATGCACCCCATCTCTGCCAGGACACCACAGCTCCTCCCAGACCTTAGTTCTTCAGCAATTAGCTGATAACAATCCCTCAGAGGCTGTGGGGTCACCATCAGTGGGACACCACAGCCACCTTCAACCCAGGGGCTGACTGGATTGGGCCCCCCATAACACCCCCTGGTCCTCAGCTTCCAGGGAAAAAGGATCCCTGGCTCTAACCTGCCCCTATTCCTCATGGTGGGGTGTCCATCGTCTCTCCTGCCCTGGACAGGTCCCAGCTGTGATGCTTCCAGAACCATCCAGGAGCATGGCAGCAGAAGTTTCATTAGCACTGGTGTCCCCCATGGTGGCCACTCCCCAGGACACCCACCCCACTGAGCTCCCCTGAGCCCCCTCCACCAGGGACTGTCCCCAGAGCAACCCCAGACTCTCCCCAAGCTCCTTCTCCCAGGTGGGGTCTAAGGGGGAGCCAAGGCAGCAGAGAGGAGCCAGAGCTGATGGTCCCCAGCAGCTCAGAGGCCACCACAGCCAAGGTCTGCGGCTCCAGGGACACCCAGAGTGGCACTGTCACTGTGGCAGTGCTGGCAACCCCGGGGGGCTGGCTCAGCATCCGAGTAATGAGGAACACAGCGTTAATGAGGCAGCTGGGGACGCTGGGAGGTGACACCTGCAGCAGCGCAGGGAAGGTGGCATGCAGAGGGAAGGGATGCAGGGATGCAGGGATGGCCTGGCTCTGTTGGTAGCAGTTGGAGCAGATCTACATCCCAGCCCAGACCTGGGGATGGGATCTACAGGCAGCCCCCAAGGAGAGGGACCCTGCACTGGCCCTAGGACAGAGCCATGTCCCCACGGCCCCAGCTGTGCCACCCGAGGCTGTGCAGCATTTGAGGGGCCTCACCCGGGGAGCCTGGGCACAGGAACCTCCCCAGCAACCCCAGGAACTGCTACAGGGAGGGGACCAAGCACCACCAAGCAGCCAGGACAGGCAAGGGAGACACTGATGGGCAAGGGGACACAGAGAGGTTGTCCCCTGCGTCTCCCTGCCTGTGGGGTGCTTGTGCCACCCAGGCAGCCCAAACCCAGCGTCTCCCTCCCTCCTCCCCCACAGCTGCATTGCCCCTGCAGCCTGTTCTGTGCCCGTGCCAAAACCCAGTGCTATTTTTGCTCCCGATTTTTAGCAGCAGTGGAAATCCTCCTGCTGCACCCCAGGCATGGAGATGGAGGGCAGGGAGGAAGCCTGGCCCAGGGGAGCCACTCTGGGGGGCAAGGACACCCCAGCCTGAATCAGCCTTGTAGCCCCAACCCCACAGACAGCCCCAGAGCTGGACCCAAGCCCACGCTGCACCAAGGGATGCTGTCACCATCAGGGCAGAGGCCCTGTGAGCTGGCACATGGCCCCAGCAGGGCGACAGGGCCAGGAACACATCCCCATGAGGGATTGTTTTCCCCAGGAAAATGTTTTTTGCTCTTCCCAGGCTGACCCAGGCTACTGCCAGCACGATGGTCCCCCTTGGGGAGCTCAGCCAAGGGCAACAGCACAGTCACAGCAGCTCAGGGTGGCAATTCCAGCTGGACACATGCTGTTCCCTGACACCCTGGCACTGTGTGGGCACAGCCCAATGCTCACCCAATCCATCCCACTTCCAAGAAAAGCCCAGCATCCACACAGAGCCTGTGAGATTTTGGGGAAACGCCACGGTTTCCCTGTGCCTGGGTGAGAATTCACCATGACAACACAGATGTGTGAGCTGGCCTCGGACCTGCTCCGTGGGCCTCTGCTAAAGGCTAGCTCAACCAACAGCATCTCCTCCACACCACCACTGCCTTGCCCAGTGTGATGATGGAGGCTGGACCCTGCCCTGCATCCCCCAAAACGTGGGCATGCCAAGCAGCCTCCCCCACGCCCTGGGGAGGGCAGCTGGAGCAGGATTTGGGATGGCAGAGCCAAGGCTTTGCAGAGATGCTGTGGTGGGAAGGAGGGTGCAGAGGCTGGGGCTGGATGTGGCCCCTGGGCTCCAGCCCAAACACCTGCACAGCCCCCGGGGCTGGAGGTGGCCTCTGGCTGTGGACATCAGAGGCTTCGGGCTGGAAAACCTGGGGAAGGGGCTCAGCCCTACACAACGTGCCCCTTGGCGGCCCCTGCTCCCTCTAGGGCATGCCAGATGCCAGATCCATGCATGGAGCATGCTCGGGAGCATCCCACCTTCCCACGCAGCCGTGCAAACCTCGCTGCCCCACCAGCACCAGGCTCCGAGCCCAACGCTGCCCCCAAACCCCACCCCGGGCTGCCCACGCAGCTCAGCGCTGCCCCAAAATAACAACGGGGACCCTGTGACCGACCCCCCGCATCCCCTGGCCACGTAGCCGAGCCGAGACATCTGCCACTGGACCAGGAGCGGCTCCGGGCTCACTCCTCGCTGCCGCCCGTCCGTGGATCGGGGGGCTCGCAGCCCCGGCTGCCGCAGGACGCCCCCGGCCCCGCCGGCTGCCAGCCCCCGGTACCGGCAGCGCGTTGCCACAGCACCGGCACCGCGCCTGGAGCGCTGCGAGCCCCGCGGAGGGAGGCGGGCAGGGAGAGGTGCGATGGGACCCGGGGCCAAAAACCACCCCCGTGCCCAAAGCCCCCCGCGGGCAGCGCCGGCTGTCGGGAATGATCCGCTCCAGCCTCAGCGAGCCCCCCGCGCCGGGGCCGCCGCCACCCCCGGAGCAGACAGAGGGTCCCCGGAGCCTGGCTGATGCCGGACCGACCCCGGCCAGCGCCGTGCTGCCACCAGGACAGGCGGGATGCTCACGGAGGGGAGCACAACCCCCTGCCAGCACCGCCAGCCCCCGCCCGGGCTCGGCATGCCACCAGGGCAGGTGGGATGCTCACGGTGGGGAGCACCAGCCCCTGCATCGCCAGCCCCGGCCCGGGCTGTCCGCACAGCATCCCTGCCCAGCACAGCATCCCTGATCCCACAGCATCCCTGATCCCACAGCATCCCTGCCCGCACAGTATCCATCCCTGCCCAGCACAACATCCCTGCCCGCACAGCATCCCTGATCCCACAGCATCCCTGCTCCCACAGCATCCCTGCCCGCACAGTATCCCTGCCCAGCGCGACGCAGCGTTACACAACAGGTAGGGGCGACCCAGCCCCTCGCCCCGCTCGCCCCCCCGCCAGCCCGGGCCACGTACTGCTGTAGAGAGTGTCGATCCAGGAGAGGCGAGGCAGGCCGCGGTGGCTCAGCGGCTCCATGCTCGCAGGGCTGTGCCGGCGCTCAGCCCGCTCTCATCTCACAACAAAGGCGGCGGGCGCGGGCGGGAGGCGGGGGCCGCGGGCCCGGGCGGGGGCTGGATGGCAGAGCCGGACACGGCTCCTGCCCGGGCACACGGCCGCGCTTCTGCCAAGGGTGCCCGGGGAAGGAGGTGCCGCCTGGCAATGGCAGCGCGTCCCGCCTCCCGCCCCTGCCTCGCCGGGGGGAGCCGAGCTCGGCGTCCCCCCGCACGCAGCCACGCCGACCCTCCGCAGGGGTCTGGGCACCGGCGAGGAGGAGGAGGACAAGGAGGGGATGGCGGTGGCACAGCAGCATGTGTGGCTTCCCCCCACGGCCACCCCAAGGAGAGCGGGGGGAAAGGGGGGAGCTGGCTCCATCACCCCCTCCAGCACAGCCTCACCTCCTTGTGTGACCTGGGGATGCTGTGCCCGCTTCACAG